AGGGGCGGGATGCGGGGAATGGGCTGGACACGGGCGGTCATCGATCGAGGTTGCGTGCGCCACTTTCTTGCAAACCCAGGTGAGCGCGCTGAGGCTCCAGGGCGGGCAGGACACCGTGCACGGTTCCCCTGCGTCCGCCCCGCGTGGGAAACCGCCCGTGGGTGGGAAGGCCGCTAAGGGAAAGTTTCTGTGGCGGCAGGAAGATTTGCAGGGATGTGACCCGAAGTGGGATAAGAAGAGAAACAAGGGAGAGGCCGAGAAACAGGAAATGAGAGCAAAGAAGCGAATTCCAGCCAGGAAAAGCCTCGCCTAGTTCTACATTTTGCAGGGCATCTTCCAAGCACTTCTGAAGGCGCCAAGTGCGTTATCAGTGAAAACAAAAGCAGAGTGTGGCCTGGAGCGTGCTCTGCCTCCCGCCACACTCTGCACGTGAGGACGAGGAGAAACGTGGTCCAGCCTGGAGGGTGTGAATCCACAGCCCACCTCTCGCCCTGCCAGGAGGAACCGGTGGGCCTGTGTCTCACCAATAAAACACTAGTGAGGGAAGGTGTCTCTGACCTGATCCTAGGCTTTCGAAGAACAAATAAGTGTGAAAGTGTTGAAAACTGCGGATCACTCCTTAGGCAAAGTATCCTTAGAGGAGGAAAGCAGTGGGAGCGGGGAGGCGATGTAAACCCACATCCGAAAACGTGGGGCCGGCGAAGGAATGAGGAGCTCGGAAGGCAAATGGAACCTGGAGGCTAAGGGGATGTGTCACTGGGGCCTGGGTCTCTGTTCAGGGGCAAGCAGCTCTGGACCCCGCCCTCTGGGCTGATCCTGGGCGCTGGTAAACAGTCCTTTAAGCTCCATCACATCGGGTTAGAAACGACATGAAAAGACAAGTTTGAAAACGGTAGAATATCAACAAATGCACAATATTTAACCGAAAAACTTGCCTCTACTAGAAACACTGTAATGCTTCCCTATAGGCGTGGCAGGGAAAAGCAGAGAGTGACGGAAGTGAGTTTAACTGTAAAAGTGGAAGGACTCTGTAGGAAATGTCATCCTGACAGCTCTTACACTAACAGCTCTTTCTGAGATAGAGAGCTGAGTGTCTGGCTGACCATAAATATATTCCTTTTTTTAAAAATATATTTTATTGATTTTTTTTACAGAGAGGAAAGGGTGAGGGATAGTTAGAAACATCGATGAGAGAAGCATCTATGAAACATCCATCAGCTGCCTCCTGCACACGCCCTACTGGGCATGTGTCTACAACCAAGGTACATGCCCTTGACCTGAATCAAACCTGGGACCCTTCAGTCTGCAAGCCCATGTTCCATCCACTGAGCCAAACCGGTTAGGGCCATAAATATATTCTGTACCAATGGCTTCTGCACGTTGAAAAACGTTCCAAGTTGCACTCTCTGCCTATGGCAACAGCACTGGGTATGTAAATTGAATGATGAAAGAAAGAAAATAAAGTACAACAATCTATTCCAGAGGTGTAGGTCAAAGTTAATATCTAGAATCTGAATAGTGTGGTTAAAAGAAGGAAATACATCAGTATTAGGGGAAGAAAAATACTTGCAGATTTTTAAAAAGAATACAAATGTCAATTAAGGCAACTCCTCAATATAAAGAAGAACAAGAGAAAGAACATACATATTTAAAAGTGAGAATCACTTCATTGTGTCCACTGGTGATGGGTATGGAAGAGCAAAACCAATGAAAGAATAAAGAAGTATCTATATATTAGAGGTTGGTATACTGGAGGAAATTATGTATGGGTATGTGTGCCTGTGTAAAGGCATGCATTTCCAATTCAGTTCATATAGTTCTATCTGTATAGAACTTAGCTTTAAACAAACTAAGGTGTGAACAAAAGAGGAGAAAGTAGGAAAAAGTACACATACCCTAGCAAAAATTTGTGCATATCTTTATGTTTGATTATTTTTAAAAAATATATTTTTTATTGATTTTTTACAGAGACGAAGGGAGAGGGATAGAGAGTTAGAAACATTGATCAGAGAGAAACAGATCAGCTGCCTCTTGCACACCCCCTACTGGGGATGTGCCCGCAACCAAGGCACATGCCCTTGACCTGAATCGAACCTGGGACCCTTCAGTCCACAGGCCGACATTCTTATCCACTGAGCCAAACCAGTTATGGTATGTTTGATTCTTTTTCCTCTATTTGCATGCGTATGCAGGCATGTGAAAAATCAGAAAATGTAAATCAGGAAATGGCAAAATTATTTTACCAAGAATTTACAAATCTGACCACCTAAAAGAATATGTTGAAATTACAGAATCATAAAATTTCTGTGTTGAAAGTAGCTGAGTCCAATTATATCTGAAACTTCTATTTAAAACCAAATTGATTTAGGTAAAGATAGTCCATTTCCCTAACTTTATACACTTCATTTACTTAGTCATTATTATTGCAAATACAAAAAGATTGAATTAGCAAAGAGGTTGGTATTCTGAGTTCCTTATAAATGGTACATTTATTGGACTTTTTTTACCTAACAGATTGTCCAGAAAAGAGAAGAACATATGCAAGCACCTCCAAAGCAAATAACATGTCTACTCCAATGTCAATGATATAGCAAAACTTTACAACTAGCCATTTTAAGTGTTAATGTAATAATAAATGTTACCTACCCAAAAAACTTTTTGTCAGATTTTTGTATACTTTACTAGTTAGTGGTCATACTCTTTAAAAAAAAAATAGTGTCAGTGGTAAAAAAATCTTTTATAGTATTAAGAGTATTACCTGTACCAAACCCTGCTCTCTCTAAGGTAAAGACTCTCTTCAGTATCTGTACATGTAGAATTCTTAAGCCTTTGGATTAGTGATGTTAAAAATTGCATGGATGATTTAACACCAATATAATTCTGGGCAGGGGTCAGGGGAAATGGAGTCCATTTTCAGAAATAAAGCTGTGTTGAAAGATTAGAACTGACTAGAAGTGAAAATAAAAGTGTTTCCCAGAACTTTGAATAAATTAAAATATAATCCTGATTTTTTCCTAGGGCCAAAAGTGATTATGTACTATTAGGTTTCTATTGCCTTTTTTTTTTCATTTGTCATGTTTTGGCAATAGTGTGCAGCAAAAGGGGATTTTCCTGTTTAAGTATGAGAAAGGCATGTAAAAGCCTTACTACAAATGCAAACAGCTGGTGATATTACATGATTACATGGCAAACAACGTTTTGATTTGAATTAGGTGCTATCTGGAAATTAAGGGAAAATGACCTTTCATGACTTTGTTTTATTGTAATCAACACAGTTTTTGGTCATTCTAGCTTAAATATCTTCATCACATCCACAGATGTCTCGCTTTTCCAAGATCCTGCATAGTACTTTCATTGAAGTCTCCTGAGCCTACCACCACATCCCATTTCTCTGGCCCCCTCCTTCTCTCACATTTATTCCACCTCTCTTACAACAAAACCTTAATTATAAAAAACCCAGAGTGGCACAGATTAGTTTTAATACAATGCCATGACATTAAGGGCTCCATGTAGGTTCACATGTTTCATACTTCCACTTCCATTCCATGTGGACACCTTGCCATGCCCCATCCATTCCGATACCTTTACATGATGGTCCTCCATTTCCTCCTATGGAATTTTCCCCAAAATGCCTCCATGATACTCACAAATACAAGCCGACGATTTCCTAGCCTCCCTCATAACTGCGTAACAGTGTAAAGTCTAGAAAACCTCAGGCTTATTGTGCTGTGCTCTGTGTGTGTGTATATGCGTGTTCATGTAATGGCACAGATTGGGTCAAGATGTAAGACAGTTTTATTTGCTTACCTGACATTTGGTTGAAGCTCAACCATCACATATCAACAGGTATCCAACTCCCTATTACATCATTC